GGAGCAGAGGGAGAGAGAGAGAGAATCCTAAGCAGAATCTTCTTAGAGAAAATCCTTAGAGAATCCTAAGCCCCAACAAGGGGCCCCATCCAACAACCCTGGGAACATGACCTGAGCAGAAATCAAGAGTCAGACACTCAGCTGACTGAGCCACCCAGGCACCTCATGAGTAGACTATTTTTTAGACCAGTTTTAGTTTCACAGCAAAATTCAGGGGAAAGTACAAAGTGTTCCCATACATCTCCTGCGCATACATAGCCTCCCCCGTTACCAATATCCCCTGCCCCCCAAAAGTGGTACATTTGTTGCAGTTGATGAACCGACATTGATACCTGATTATCACTCAAAGTCCATGGTTTACATTAGGGTTCACTCTTGGTGTTGTATGGGTTTGAGCAAAAGTACAATGACACCAATTCACCACTGTAGTATCATACAGAATAGATTCACTGCCCTAAACATCCTTTGTGCTCTGCCTATTCTCTGTATCTCCCCGAATCCCTGGCAACCACTGATCTTTTTACTATTGCCATCGTTTTGCATTTTGCAGACTATAGAATATTCTATATTATATGGCTGGAATCAAATAGTATGTAACCTTGTTAGATTGACTTCTTTCACTTAGGAATATGCATTGAAGGTTCTTCCATGTCTTTTTTGTGGCTTGATACCTCTTTTCTTTTTAGTGAGGAATAATATTCCATTGTCCCTATATAACGAAGTTTATTTATCCATTAAGCTACTGAAGGATACCTTGTTGCCTTCAATTTCTGAAATTATGAATAAAGCTGCTATAAATATCCATGCACAGGTTTTAGTATAGAGATAACTTTTCAACTCCTTTGGGTAAATACCTAACAGTGTGATCGCTGTATTGTATGGCAATAACGTGTTTAGTTTTGTAAGAAACCATCAAACTGTCTTCCAAAATAGCAGTACCTTCCCCTGCCTTCTAAGTACCAGCCTGGTCAGCTGTGCCAGGATATAATACTGACTTCTTAAGCAGAGAGCACCCCAATTCCTGGTGCCCAAAGATCTCTGATGCACTGTTGTGGATCTGTGCATAATCACATCCCAGGGCAGTCCAGGGCCGTTTCCCGTTTCAGACTCAATTAACCAAATGTGTGTTATTGATGTGCTGAACTGGGGCAGTTTATCTTGTATTCAACTCATCTATTGTCATGAGGGCTGCTCAAAGCTGATGTGCCACGTTATGTTTGCTCCCTATGCGTCTGTAAGAACAAGGAGAGCTTGGTTATCCTCTCTTTGGAAATGGCTGGTGACATTCACACCATCCTGCTGTCTCTTCTTTTTCCTCTTTCCCGCAGCTCTCTTGCCCACTGGTCGTTCCTCTTCATTCACTGGGATTTGCTCCCTGACTCAGTTTCCCTTTTCTCTCACTGCCCCTTGACCTTGCCATTTCCAGTGAACTTTCCCTCACATTCTTCCAGCCACCAACTCCAATCATCACACTCGGAGCCCTCACTTCAAACAGAATCTGTACTCTTAAGAAATCTCAAGCAAGTGTCAGTCAAGTCCAACACCACAAGCTGTTTTCTTTTTCAGATTCACCTACAATTCTTTGAATTCCCTCCACTTCCTTGATCCCCTCTTTCTCAGCCTCCTCCTGTTTTCTCCGCATCTCTCATTTAATGTAGATCCTAGGCTTTGTCTTCCTGTCATGACTTGAACTTCCTTCAGTTATTTACTCTGGCTGGCCAACCCCAATCCCTGCTGAAATTCCCCCGCCCCCTCCTTGCCTGTCCCCAGCAGATCCAGGTTGCTGATGGACAATCCACCCCACGAGGCTGACTGGCTTCATTTAAAGCCAGGATCTTAAGCTGCACAGGAGCTTACTCTCTCTCCTGACACATTTGCCATGCTCCTAGTTAGTGTACCTATTTTCTGAAATGACGTTTCATACCTTCTCCTGTCTTCAAACCTCTCATATTCTCCCCGCCCTCCCCCAGTCCTGCCTAATGAGGTAGCCTCAAACTCCTTGAGATTAGGGCAGCCAGAGTGCAACTCCCTCACTTGCTCACAGCTGTCTAGAAACACTTGGCAACTTACCCCTGGCTTCTGCTTCCTTTCTACCACAGGGGAGGGGCCTCTCCATGCTAGCAAGAATATTCATTCATTCCTTGGGCTCTGGCTGTTCTCCAACTATCACATCCTTCTCCTGAATCATCATACCAACACTGCCTCCCTCTTCACTGAATTCTCCCTTTTGTTTTTGGTTCTTGGGGGTCGGGACAGGATGGAAGTGGGAGAGTATGATTTACAGAAAATAACACATTTTTTTAAATTAATGTTTTTTATTTATTTTTGAGACAGAGAGAGACAGAGTGTGAGGAGGGGAAGGGCAGAGAGAGAGGGAGACACAGAATCCGAAGCAGGCTCCAGGCTCCCAGCTGACAGCACAGAGCCCGATGCGGGGCTCAAACCCATGAACCATGAGATCATGACCTGAGCCGAAGTCGATGCTTAACTGACTGAGCCACCCAGGCGCCCCATAGAAAATAACACATATTATATTCACATGAAATACCACACACATCACATCCCAGAAATTTATTCTATGCTCTGTCCCAGTTGATCCTCACCCCCCCACCATAGGCAACCATTGCTCTAATTTCTATCACCATAGATTAATTTTTCCCAACTTCATATAAATGAATTGTAGAGTGTGTACTCCTTTGTGTCTGGCTTCTTTTGCTTCATAGAGTATTTCTGAGATTAATCCGTGTTGTGTATATCCGTAGTTTTTATTGCGGAGTGGTAGGCTATGTATGAATATACAATGTGTTGACCCATTCACGGGCATTTGGGCTGTTTCCAGGTTTGGGCTACTATAAATAAGGCTGCTCTGGACATTCTGGCACGAGTCTTTTTTGCGGACATATGTTTTATTCTCATTTCGTTTCTGGTCAGAGGATGGATTACGTCTAACTCCATAAGGAGCCCCCAAACAGCTCTTCCAAGTGGCTGTACCATTTTGTATTCTCGTGGAAGCAGTGTGTCCAGGCACATCGCCTCCGCCTCATATTTAAAATTCTCATTTTAGGGGCGCCTGGGTGGCGCAGTCGGTTAAGCGTCCGACTTCAGCCAGGTCACGATCTCGCGGTCCGTGAGTTCGAGCCCCACGTCAGGCTCTGGGCTGATGGCTCAGAGCGTGGAGCCTGTTTCCGATTCTGTGTCTCCCTCTCTCTCTGCCCCTCCCTGGTTCATGCTCTGTCTCTCTCTGTCCCAAAAATAAATAAACGTTGAAAAAAAAATTTTAAATTCTCATTTTGATTTTAATGACTCTGATGATGTGAAAAGTGCTTAGGACAGCACTTGGCATAATACATACCCTCAGAGAGGGTATCGTTTCACTACTGTTATTATCAGAGTAAGTGCTCGAACTTTTTAAATAAAGAGCATCTAAGTTCCTTGTTTCCAGGAGTCACCTTTCACTCTATGTTGTTGTCGTTGTTATTCTAAACCCTCCCAAACCACATAATAATAACCTCCAGTATTGACCATACATCTGTTTAAGTATTGTCATAATTAAATAAATGTTCATACATCAATAGATGTCTTGGTTTATAAAAAGGGCAGGGCAGAGACATCATCAATATCTCCCAGGATAAACAACAAGTGCTCAATAAATAGCACAGGTTTGTTTTTCTCCTGTAGCTGCCTGGAGCAACCCTCTACCCTACTCTGTCCTGGGATCTGTCCCCATACGCTGGGGAGGGACTATGTTCTCTTTGGAGCTGCACAGCCCCATGGGGACTGCAAACCTTGCCCTTCTGACAACAGGTGGGTAGGTCCCCACCACCAGCACCTTCTCCAGTCTGCAAACCCAGGTGTCCCTTCCTGGGCACAGCTTCTCTTGGGGGTTGAGGGAGGAAGGAATCTGGGATCTGGGCGTGGAGGTGCGCTCAGGGACGGAGACCTGGGCTGGGCCAGGCACAGTTGGGCTCTGGGTCTCAGTTGCCCCGGAGCCAGCCACCGAGGAAGGCGCTCCTTTGGGCAAGCCTGCACCCCAAGTCGTCCTCCAGTTCCTACATTCTCTCCGCCCCCTGCCCACGCTTAATTATTTCCTCTGGGTCCCTCCCTACAGGCCTCCTCCCTCGCCCGCGCAGCCGGGACACAGAGGGGAGGGCGAGAACTCCAGGCGCGGCACCGCGCTCCCTGAGGCGACGGCGGGTGGCGCGGTGGCTGGCGCGCGCGGCGCGGGAGGGTCCAGGATGCCTGAGAACATCTCCTACGCCAACTGCTGCGAGGCGGGCGAGCTGGCCATGCGCCCGGACTGGCCGGGGACGGGCCGCGCGCGGCCCTCGGGGACCGCCCGTCCTCTCTGGGAGGCGCCCGCGCTGTCTACCGTGCTCATCGTCACTACCGCGGTGGACGTTGTGGGCAACCTCCTGGTCATCCTCTCCGTGCTCAGGAACCGCAAGCTCCGGAACGCAGGTGAGCGCCACGCCCGCTGCTGGGGCTGGCGTCTGGTCTCGACCCTGACCCCGCCATCCGCCTCTTTGCGCGTCCTCAGTCCCTGGCGCCCCGGTCCCTATTCTCTAACCTAGTCCCCAAGTTTGGTCCTCAGCTCAAAAGTTAGGGTGAGTTCCTGCCCTTCCCCGACGCGAGGCGCCGGCGTCCGCCTCTCGCAGCCGCCGGAGGGCACTTGGCGGACCTGTGCCAGCGTGAATTGCACAAAGTTTTTCTGGCGCACTTGTTGGCACGGCGCCGGCGCTGTGGGAACGCACGTGTCTGGAGGCTGCTGTCATCCGGGGTGCTCCAATTTGTGCGGGTCCAGATGGTGCCCCTATCTGGCCACAGAAATCTCAGGATCTTTGACACCTCTCTCCCTCCCCTGCCGAGCACAGGGGTTCACAAAGCAGGTGCCAAGAAGATGAATGAATTCAGGGAAGCTCTCGGGTGAGCTTTGGGTTAGAAACCTCTCCAGTTCACCGAAGACCCATTTCCAGCCAAGAGAGCGTAGATGCAGAAATCTGCAGGGTCTGCTTCGGTGGGAACTACATTGCTTTGAGATAATGGGGTCCTTTCTGGAGACAGAGAATTCGTGGGATTCGGTGAAGATTAAAACGATGATTTGGCAAAATAGGGTTGCAGTCCTGAAAGTATTTTTCCCTTCTGCCCATTCTCATTTCAGTGTTTCCACTCCGGGGCTCTACAAGGGCAGGGGTGAGGGAGGGAGTCTCTGAACTCTGATCCTGAGAGATCATTGGAGCATGCTGAGCACCTCAGCCTGCAAAGAAGTTCAAAGCCCTGTTTGTCAATTTGTAACTTCCTAGTTTGGGCTTAAGGGCCCTTCAAATATTAGAGTGAATTAAAATTAAAAAGCAACAGCAAGAAAGCCAAGTATGTCGTTTAACTGTGCTTTTCTAAGGAGCCAGACCATTCAGAAAGGCCAGTTGTAAATGGGTATATATATTTTGTGCGGATCTGTGACTCCAGTGTTTTTACGTAAAGAACAAACAAAAAATAAAATTAGGAGCTACTGTTCATAATATGGGAAACAACACTGCTAAGTAGAAACACGCTTTCTAACGCCATCATTTCAGTAGTGGTGGTTAGTATTATCTGGAATACCTTTTTCAAGACATTATTACATGCTCTGAGTAAAAGCTATATATTATGAAAGGGCAGGTTGTGGTTAGAAAGTGGTATTTGAAATTTTTGATCACATTGTCCCTTTGCGGGAACCACAAACTTGCTTCCCCGGCACAGAGGGGCAGGAGGGAGGTGGGGCTGCGTCCTCCAGGTTCTGACACAGGCGACTTCTCTCCCCGACTAACCAGGTGTTTAGAGATAGCCTGGAGGGCTGTGCTTCCCTGGTGAATAATCTGGGCAGCCCGCTAAGGAAAAGGAGACTTGGGGGGGAGCGGGGGAACTGCTTTTTTTCTTAACCTGAAGCAGACAGGCATCTTCTCCCCTCCTCCATCCCGAGGGGCAGGGGGGCGCTCCCGGAAGCCTTACTGATTTGGGAGTGTGGCCGGGGTGTGTAATGAGCTTGTGACTTGCTGGTACATCCCCTGTTCCTACTTCCTGTTGAGTTCACACCAGGAACAAATTTTGACACTATAGCTAAATGACGTTAATTCCTGACACATTGGTGGCTGCTCTAGTCATGCAATTCAACCAGCTTTGATTTGACCATTGCATTTATTGACGAGGGTCATGAAAAAGCATACCATTGACTTCAGTTAAACCCTAGCAGGGTGAGGGGCGCCTGGGTGGCTCAGTCCGTTGAGCGTCCGACTTCAGCTCAGGTCACGATCTCGCAGTCCGTGAGTTCGAGCCCCACGTCGGGCTCTGGGCTGATGGCTCAGAGCCTGGAGCCTGCTTCCGATTCTGTGTCTCCCTCTCTCTCTGCCCCTCCCCCATTCATGTTCTGTCTCTCTCTGTCTCAAAAATAAATAAAAACGTTAAAAAAAAAATTTTAAACCCTAGCAGGGTGAGATCTGAAAAGGTGCTTAAAAACTGTCAGCACTTGGAATTTGCACTCATTCCACTAGGAATCAAGTCTCCTCTACTGAGAGTTTGGAGTGACCTTAAGAAACACTCATGTCAGACCTTTCTGTAATTAAGTTTGGTTCCTTAATTCATTGGTGTTGAGAAGATAGGACTGTGGCAATGAGAACACTCAGAGGTCCCATAACCAAGGCACACAGCCCATATTAAGATCATAGAACCTTTCTTAGCAGACAGACGCCAGTATCCTTTACTTGACTATTACAGACGCAGTTCCTCTTTCCATTCCTTTTGTAAAAAATGTTTATTTATTTATTTTTGAGAGAGCCAGAGAGAGAGCCTGAGTGGGGGAGGGGCAGAGAGAGGGGGACAGAGAATCCCAAGCAGACTTTGCACCATCAGCGTCAGCGCAGAGCTGGGTTGTGGGGCTTGAACTCAGGAGTTGTGAGATCATGACCTGAGCTGAAACCATGAGTCGGATGCTTAACCGACTCAGCCACTCAGGTGCCCCAGTTTCTCTTGTCATTCCCAACAGGGATGATCCTGGTGGCAGGTAAGTGGTTAGATTAATTGTCCTTTTTTCCTGGAACTACCCTATCTGTGGCTTCTGTTGCTGCGTGCATTGGGTTGATCTTTTCAGAGACAGCAGTAAAGAGAGGGAGGGATGGAGGGAAGATGGGAGACAGATCTGGGGCATTGACCCACCTTGGAAGGGAAGACCAGGTGTTTGGTTCACTCTTTTTTTTTTTTTACATGGCACTGGGTTGGCGGTTGACAATTCTCAGTGTGTGCTTCCTGGGGACCTACCATGTTTGAGGCTTTCCTGACAGCATCTGAGGACATGTTCTGTGCCTGCCACGGCCATGGCTTGCCCTGGTCTAGACTTAGCCAACAATAATCTCTGCATTTTTGATTTTTATCTCTTCCTTTCCCTGCTTTTCTGGAACCTTCCCCCATCAAGTTCTTTCTCTCTTATTTGTGTTTTCAATGTCTGTCATAGACATACACGTACACACACACACACACACACACACACACGCACACAGTCACACAGGTATACACACAAATAGGCACACATACCCAAGGGTCTCTGGTGTTTAAAAAAAAGTGGCTCCTGGGTGACTCAGTCAGTGAAGCATCTGACTCTTGATCTCGGCTCAGGTCATGATTTCACCGTTCATGAGATCAAGCCCCGTGTCCAGCTCTACACTGACAATGTAGAGCCTGCTTGGGATTCTCTCTCTCTCTCTCTCTCTCTCTCTCTCCCCCTCTGTCAAAATAAATAAATAAAATAATAAGATAAAACAGAATTTCCAAAAAAAGAAAAAGAAAAGAATCTTCCCTTGATTGTGTGTCTGCTTCTAAGTTCATTGCTATTCTCTGTCCCGTCACAACCAGACATCAATTTCCACCTGCTGACTACCTCACTGCTCCCCATCTCCTCCTGAGTGTTCTGCAGCCTGGCCTCAGAAATGCCCCTCTGTGCAAATATCTGTCATCGAGGCCTACTCCCTCCTTGAAAACCTTCTTTCCTTGGCTTACCAGATGCCAGTGTTTAGACCTCCTTCTTCTCTCCTCCCAGACACCTGATCCCTGGGAGTCATTCCTTCATTCCCCAAGTCCCCATGAGTTTTGCCTTATAATATCTCTCACTATTCCCCTTTTCTGCCCTCCCTACTCCTACTGCACTACCTTACACACTCACCATCACTTGAGGAAACTATATCCATAGGGTCCAGTCAGCCTTCCCTGCTCAGTCCTGCAGTGGCTCTTGCCACCAGTGGAGTCACTGCCATCCGTTACTGCCTTGGGTCTATACCACAGGTGACTCGGGAGCGCGGCTCACACAGCCCTTCTCCAGGGGCTAGCCCCCGCTAATGCAATAGCCTCTTCTCTCCTCTCATCGCACTTGTGAACTACAACCATTCCCACACAGTCCACACGTGCTATGCACTGCCTCATCTCGGGGAGCCCCCTGCCTCTTCCTGCTAGTGAATGTCCCGGTGCGGTTGTTGACGTTGCTTATTAATAGCAAGAAAGGCGTGGGGACTCTGTCTCCCTCTTCGGGCTTCCACGGGCCCTCCCCAGACAGCTCCTGCCTCGCTGTCCTGTTGTTGGTCTTTCTCTCTCCCTGTGGGACTATGAGTTTGTTGAAGGCTGCGACTTTTAGTCCATTTCTGTCCACAGAGCTGAGGGCATACTAAGGACTGAATACGGGTGTTGAAACAAGTTGAAAATGGACACGGCAACAGAAGGCAATGGGTCGGAAGGAATTAATCATGCTTCACAAGGTGGGGCAGGCTCATCACGGCACTCAGAACTGCACGTGCCATCAGTGGAATTCTTACGGAACCGAATTGCTTTGAACACTAAAAGGGCACAGTACACCTCACTCTTGTCCTTGAAAGCTGAGTGGCACCTCTACACAAAGGTGTGCCTGCTCCACTTGCTCCTGTGTGGCCGGCCGCCTCCAGCCATGCCTGGGCTGCCCCAAACTGTGCCTCAGTGGCTCCTTAGGGAGTTTGCCCCTTGCTGGTCGGGGCTGCCTGTAGAATGTGAGCCTCCTGCCGTTACCTTCACTGTCCAGTCGGCCACACGGAAGAGAGCTGAGAGACTCATGTCCTTAGTGTCATGTCAAGATGATCTCCATTAAGAGAGCTGAAAGCACGACAAGCATCAGTTACTCCTGGCCCGTAGGCACAGTAGCCTCGATTTCCCAGGCGACAGTCAGGAGCTGTGGGCTGACAATGGATTCTTGTGCTGCGTCTGAGTTAGAGGCTGTTGGGGAAGACAGTTTGGTGATATGTAAGGAGAAAGGATGTGAAATGTTTGACGTTGGGATTGCCCAGGAAAACATGGAGGACTTGGTTGCCGAACACACAGGTCCTTGTCCAGAGTCTGCTCTGTCCTCCAGGCACCCAGTGATGCTCAGCCTGTACCATCTTTTTCCAGGGACAGAGACCGCATTGCAAGCTTCC